ATTCTTACTAGAGATGGGGTTTCACCATGTTGGCCAGGCTGGTGTCGAACTCTTGATCTCGTGATCTGCCCTCCTCGGCCTCCCAAAGTGCTGGTTATAGCTTTCGTCTCAAAAAAAAAAAAATGAGCCTGGGAAAACAACCTGTGTAGTATATGGGTCAAACCCACTTGTACTTTTTTGTTTTAGGATGCACTCCAGAAATTGACTGAAATTCTCAATTTAAATGGAGAAGTAGCTTGCCAGGACTCAGGCCATCCTGCCAAACACAGGAACACATCTGCAGTCCTAGGCTGCTTGGCTGAGAAACTAGCAGGTAACTTTGGGACACTCCACAGTGGAAGATCTTAAGTTGTTTGACATTAAAGGGAAATTTGTACTGTAGGTCTTTGATCAAACCTGCTATAACAGAAATAAATCTCTTAACAATGATATTGAGAGACGTAGACTAACTGGAAGAAAATTACTGAAAGGCTACAGAGATAAATACAATTTAATTTAGCTTTGTGGATTTTCAGGGGATATTTTAAAAGAAAAAAGTTGTGTTTATTTGCTTTAAGAATAAGGAGCAGGGAAAAGAAAAAAAGGGGGAAAAAGCTAAATTCAGCATAACAAAGATATGTATGTATGTATACAATATATAATTTGCATATATACACACTTTATAAAGTTTAGCTAGATTATGAAGACATACAAGGTAGAGGGAGAGGAAAAGGAACTTCTGATTGGAGCAGTTCCTGAGAAGTAGATATTTAATTTGTTTATGAATATTACCCATTTTAAGAAAGTTAACAGCAAAGTATAGGGGCATAGCTCAGCTACTTACATCACATATTGTGGAAGAAACAATGGATTAGAAATCAGAATATGTGGCTGCTGGTTTGGACTCTCCCATGTGCTCGCCAAGTGCCCTGGAGTTAGTTGCTTCACTGTGTGGGCTCACTTGCTTAACTGTGAGATGGGGCTGGTACTATTTTCTACCTCAGAGCAGGATGCTTGAATAAGATAACATGCGTGAAAGAGTTCTACCAATTTGATTGCTACCAGTGATTTAAAATAATATGGCATTTTAATTTATATCAAGTGTTTGTTGTATTTGTCTAGGTCCTGCAAGTATAGGTTTACTGAGCCCAGGAATACTGGAATATTTGCTACAGTGTCTGGTAAGTGAGACATCAAAACTATTTATTCTCAGTCATCTAGAAGTGAGCATCATCTAGAACTGTGCATTTTCTCAAATTGCTGGCATAGCCTCTGGCACAGAGAATGGAATCAATTGTAAATTTTATTTGCAGGTGTTTCCCAAATGCTTATTTATTCCCTCCTATGTTTAAAAAAGAGAGTGGGATTGGAATTTATCCCAACCAGCAAAAACAGCTGAGTTGGTCTGGTTTTAAATTTAGTCATAAGATAGCTGCTATGATTGGCTCTTTTGCATGTTCCTAGAGTTTGCCAAATGGTAATAGGGACCTCCACAGTGGAAAGAAAATTACATGGTGTTCCAAGCCAGGAGGCCATCAAGTCAAATTCCCAGTATATATAAATCTCTACTCCTCCCTGCCCTCCCCCTCACTGCTACTGTTCTTAAAACTGTTGTCACTGGAATATTTAGTATATTGTATGTGAAGCTTGTGGTTTGCTGAGGCTGTGCCCTCAGATCTCTCCTAGTTCTGGCCTGTGGTCTTGAATGGTCTATATTTTTAAAAGTTATTTTTGTAAGCCTAGTGAGCATTGGCCTTTTTCAAAACTCTGGTCTGAAAACCCTTATTTGTCAATACACACTGATACGTGCTTAAAACACTTGCCTTACTCTCAATGAGCACTCTGGGGATACAGCATGGCAGTCCTTTGATTTCAAGAAGTTTATTGGTTAGTTGAGGAAACAAAACTACTCAGACAAGATAATTAGCCTCCATTTTATCACAGGATGTGATCATGGGATAAAGTACTTCGTCAAGGCTAAATGAGGGCCGGTCACTGTGGCTCACGCCTATAATCCCAGCATTTTGGGAGACTGAGGTGGGCAGGTCGCCTGAGGTCAGAAGTTCAAGACCATCCTGACCAACATGGTGAAACCCGGTCCCTGCTAAAAATACAAAAATTAGCCGGGCACGGTGGCATGTGCGTATAGTCCCAGGTACAGGAGGCTGAGGCAGGAATTCGCTTGAACCTAGAAAGCAGAGATTGCAGTTAGCTGGGATCTCACTGCACTCCAGTCTGGGCGACAGAGCGAGGCTCCGTGTCAAAAAAAAGACTAAATGAGAGGGTGAGGGAGGTGGGTGGTATGGGTAATGAGAGCTGGGGTGTCATGAAAGTCAGACTTCCTGATGAAGGTGGACCCTCAGCTGGGTCATGCCATAAGATTAGGATTTTATTGTGCCCAGAGGAGGAAAAAATGGACTTCTTAGCTAAGGGAACATCACAGGCAGAAGCCCAGAGACAGAGAAGTGTCTGATGAGAGAAGACAGTGTTCAGAGATAGGACACAGACTGAGTAGCCAGCTAGAAAGGGTTCAGGGCCTGAAAAGCCAGGCAGAGGGATTTAGATGGATATGAGAAGAAATAGAATGCTGAATAGGCTTTCCAGCAGCAGGGATGGTGGTTATGTGAGCTTTCCAGAACTTAGGTGGGTACCAGGGAAGTCAGTGGGAATCATCTGATATTCTGGAGCTCCTCTGGTGGCTCCCAATGCAGCAGTAGGGAAAGCATGGCTATGAGAAGGTGTCATGTTCAACAGATAGACCTTTCCTTAAAGGGGAACTCATGTGACATGAACTTAAATGTAACTAAAAGAGTTCACTTGTTGCTTTCTCCTGTCTACCATCAGCATTTGTAGAATTCCTTTCAGGAAACAGCTTAAAAACTAAGCCATTAATTGTTAATTTAATTATTTCTAATTTTGGAACTTGGTAGTGATAAGTGTTTCTTTTTAGGGTTCTAAGTAAAAGATCATTTTTAGTTTATAATTCAAGGTTTCTGTTTGGCTTGCACAAATGAATGTGAGAATCAATGTTTTATTTAACAAAGCCCTAATATAAGTTTTACGAAGTAAAATAACATAGTGTATTTAACAGGATACTTTTGAAATTTCCAAATCTATAAATTAACCTAGTGACTTTAAGAAAAAATTACAAGATTAAGAGAGCCTGTCCGGTTCATTACTGTTACTGTCATTACTAACATTAGCCAAACGGATAATTGAGGACTTGAATGAATGGAACTTTTCTGACCACTCAAAAAAACATCTAGCACATACTGGGCAAGGAAATGAAACTGATAACTTGCCACCTCTGCAGGGGAATGATTTTTTTTTTTTTTTTT